AATGATATACGGATGGCATTGCAGGATGCCAATCGTCGATCGGCATCAGGACCAGATGGCATTTCTTATAAAATGTTTAGGAGGTTAGGCGAGGAGTCTATTGAGTTCCTTACGTGGGAGATAAATAGCCGATGGAAAGAAAGATTTTTTCCAGAAGAGTGGAAACTAGCGACTACTGTTCTCATACCGAATGTGGGCAAGAGCCTAGGGCTGGAAAATCTCAGACCAGTTTCGCTAACATCGTGTTTGGGAAAAGTCGCTGAGCATGTCATTTTAAATAGGCTAACTCGTTATATTGAGGACAATGGGGTCTTTTCGCACTCGATAATAGGTTTTCGTCCCGGCCTCTTGACTCAAGATGCCATGCTTAGGATTATGCATCACCTACTTGATTGGTGGACAAGAGATACTAAGGTACTATTTTGACTTGATGTGGAAAAATCTTTTGACAATCTCCGACACTCCTTCATTCTACAGGTGCTGTAAGACTTGCATCTGGGGTAACGGCTTTTTCTCTTTGTCGAGGCTTTTCTTGAGATAGAAGGGCATGTCTCAGGTTGGGAGAGATCAAGTATTCTGTCTTCAATTTGGCTTGTCGTGGTACACCACAAGTATCTGTACTCTGGTCAATGTTGTTCAATCGGGCGATGTCAAAGATAGCTAACGTTTTGGAAAATGTCGAGGGTATTGGCTATAGTCTCTACGCGGACGACGTCACAGTATGGAGTGTCGGCGGTAGTGATGGAGAGCTTGAGGATAGGCTGCAGTAGGTGGTAACACTTACGGAAAACTGCTTGGCTCTTATGGGACTCAAGTGCTCCTCTGAAAAGTCGGAGTTGTTATTCTTCAATTCCAAGAAGCTAGGTTGTAGGCTGAAGAATTAGGTACCGGAAGTTGACACTTGCTTCACAGTTTGTACTAGCAATGGATCATTGGTACCAAAAGTAGGTGCTACTAGCGTCCTTGGTTTTGTAATTGAAGCAAATGAATCGAATATTTTAACTATTCAGCATATTGCCAAGAAGACACAGGAGGCCACAAAATTTAACTGAAGGATCTGTAACAGGCAAAGAGGATTAGGAGAAGAAACTGCGATGCGCTTGGTTCACGCATTTCTTTTTGCCATCTTTCGTATGTAGCTGCTATGCCTAATTGGAAAGAAGGGGAGAAAGACAAATTGGAAGCTTTAAATAGAAAAGCCGTTAGGGCGACGCTCGGTTTGCCTGTGAGTACGCCAAATGGTATGTTGTTGCGGCTGGGTTTGCATATTACTCTTAATGAAATTGCCGAGGCTCAGCGTATAGCACAGAGAGAGCGGCTGCTGGGTACGCCAGCTGGTAGGTATATCTTACAGTCAATCGGAGAATTGGTGGTGAGTGGTGATGGTGCGCGCCTACACAAGTTAACCGTGAACATCACGGCTGATATCATGGTCTACCTCTTTCCGCGAAATGCGCAACCTGTGAATAATGTAGGGAGGCGAATGGCGAGAGCTATGAATTTGTTTCGCGAGGCAAAAGATTAGGAGGAAGAGTCTGCTTTCATTGACGCAGCATGAATTAACGGAATAGACACTTACTCGGTGGTGGTGGGTGATGGGTAAGGGAGTGTTTGAAATGCCGCTTCCGTTTACACGAAAAATCTTGGGTTCGCCGAGCAGGTGGCTATTGCCCTAGCACTCATTGATTCGGAAAAAGCTTTAGTATTTAGTGACTCGCACTCTGCAATTAAAGCCTTCTCGAGGGGAGTGAGGGGAGGTAATGGCAAATTGGCTTACATACTGCTGCAGGGTAAGGACGTCACTCCGAATACCATTACTTGGTTTCCGGCGTGCATGGCGTCAGTGGAGGGAGCCCCACGTAACCTCAACGAGGCGGCACACGGAGAAGCACGAGGATTAGTGTGTCGTGCAATCCCTGAGGCAGCTAAATCTCCTGTTACGGAGTTGAGGAACCAGCTGTTGACGTGCAACGATATAACAAAACATTATTCCTTAAAGTGTAGGCAATTTTTCTTGCCATATTCTAGACTTAACAGGCCACAGGTAGTTACATTAGGACTTCTGCAGGTGCGGACGTACCCCACCCTGGTTGTCTTGAATAAAATCCACCCGGACTGCGGAATTTTAATTCATTGTATAGGTGTGGGGGCTAGCTCAATATTGAACACATGCTCTAGCGCTGCTCGGTAATGACTGGTGCGGCTTCTCACGGTAAACAGTGGTGGCAGCGAATGCTGCACAGTGACGCTCTGGTGGACCAACTCAGGGCTGTCCAGAGGGCGCGTGTGGAGGCAGAGGCGCTTCACCTCTCTGTCCCGACGTGGGAGCAGCCAGCTTCAGTCCTAGACTGATCCTCAGGACTTCAACAAAGTTCCTTATATCATACCATTCGCAAGAAGCTAAACACTGTAAAAGTAAAGAGAAAATAAATTGTGCACTATATTTTCCCCGTGTTCAGAAACGTTTGTTTGTCTTGAACTTGACTTGTCACCGCCTTCAATGCAGCGCGTTTGGAACGCGTTTGTACTTCACGCCTTGGCAACAACTTTAGACACCGCGTTCGAGACACGTTTGTGCTGCATTGTAAGCTGTGGCGAGTAAAGTTAAATTCAATGACAGTTTCTGTATACGCACGACTCGCGGAAATACTCATTGTCGTCTCAGCGCAGCTTGGGAGGCGGGCGGCTTGCATGGCCGGTCAACTCCCTTGATCAAAAGAACGGTCACACCCATTACCGGCTTTTTTTTTTCTTTGAAGGCATCTGTGATGCCAGCGCTGACACCATGGCACAGCGCACGAGCACCATGACAATGTCTTGTCCTTCGCTTGAATCGAACTTGACGCTGTTAGGAACACTGTGCGAAAGCGGACGAAAACAATAAATGGGCCCACTTGGTTTGCTCCGCTCACTCAGCTGGCGGCGATCAGCTGATCAGCGCCGTTCTCCAGAGTTCTCGCTGATAACGAGATCCGGACGTGACTCTCCGGTTTTGCGACGTCCGGTCTCTCACATGCAGCCTCTGCCGGTGTGAACATCAGTCGCTTTTTCGTCACCAGTCGCAATGGTCACGCGACCGCTTCTAGTCGCCGGTGTGCACCAGCCTAGAGTTAACAGCGACCGCTGGAACGTAGCTTTTGGGGGTATGGCCCGAGCCCAGAGCAGTGACATTCTCCGGTGAATGCGATTCGATGAGCATGCGCTGCTGCTTAAGCACCTGTTGCTGGGCCTGCAGTTGCTGTGTAAGTTGTTGTACCTGCTGGCGCAGAGTCGAGAGGGCTTCCGAGTCTGCCAAGATGGGGTGGTTGGTTCCATTTCCAAGTCACCAGATGTGAAATGCGGAGTCGGTTAAAGATGGATCCTAACATAAAACGTAATGATAGTTTATTAAGTGGTAGCAGCACCAGGGCAAGAATATCGATACTGTGCTCGAACAGTTAGAAAAACGATCACACAACCGAGTCTGGAAGCTTGCATGATATAGCCATCAGTGGTGACGTAAGCCTCCGGTGGCGCTGCCGAAGGCGCTGTCGTTTATCGGACGCGTGTTGCAGCGTGCAGCCAAGTCATGATGGCTGCGCCGGTTTTTGTGCAGTATGCCACCGCAGAGTAGCTGTTTTATTTGGGAGTCGAAAGCATACGTCCCCGCTGTCCCCGTGCGCTGCTCTGACTGTTCGTTCCCATTGCTCCTGCTCACCCAATGGAAAGCGGTGTAATTAACTCATATTGCAGTTGCAGTTTAGCGATAGGTAGCAAGGCCCCGGAAGTTTCAAAGGAGTACGTCTACCTAAGGAGGTATTAACCACACACAGATTATCAGAAATTAATATAGGTGTCTTTGTCGTTGTTTAACGTCCCAAACCCATTAATTGATAAGAGCTCCGGAAATTTCGACTACCTTGCGTCTTTTACCTGCACATAAGTCTAAGCATACGAGCTTCAGGCATTTCCGCCTCTACCTGAAATGTGCCCGAAACAGCTGGAATTCAAAATATAAACCACTAGACTGAAGCAATTGAATGGTTGGAAAATTAGAAATAGTGTAGATTGTGTTTGGCAGGAATTCTCAGACTATTAAATGTACCTCTATCGACTCAAATAACAGCTCCAATTTACCGGTGTTCATGTACGGGACAGAAAAATAAAGACTCAGGAAAAGCGTTCAGCTGAAATCGAGGACGAAGCAGTGAGACACGGTATAATCGCTGTAACCTTAAAGTACCAAAGAGAACATAGTTTGTCTAGAAAGAAATGCTTGGTAATGAAATCTCAGACAAAGTAATGCAGAATAAATAGATGTGGGTTGCTCGAGACAAGCACTGAAGAACCGCTTGGATGAAACGTCCGCCAGACGCACAGTATCGTCAACAATGTCAGCTGTCGCCCGCGTCTCTCCACTCGTTCAACTCCCACTTCGGTTCCCAGTAAACTGGTTAACAGCAACAGCAGCGAACAGTGCCTCCGGCTGCGTTTGAATGAATATCAGACAGGCGTTTACTCTGAAGTGAATGTGAGTGGCCTGGTAATGATAATGGTGATTACAAAGATGTTACCGAGCTTTTGTGAGGTTAATATCTGGCTGTCATTATTTAAAATAATGAGGTTTGCTTCAACTACTATAACTACTTTCGTTCGTTAGATATACGCACTATAGGTTTCTTTAAATAAAGCAGAGAACTCTTCATATATACGATTTGAACACTCCTCACTGAGAGTTAAACAGAATCGCATCATGGACAAGTTTCTTGATGCAATAGCTTTTATGTCGTGACCTGCTAGAAGACAACAATTTTATTGATTTTGGGACTTTGGAACATGCGATAGATAAAACTGTCTTTTAGGGTTACTGTTTTTGTCGTCGTAGATGTAAACTTTGCTGTAGTTGAAAAATTCTAAATGGCTTTCTTAAGGCTGCGTGATCGTAAGTGACATTTTTCAAAAGTGCAACGTTTTCATCGACAGTCTTTTTCGAAATTCGCTTTGTTCCTTTCTGTTGACAGCACAGTGTCCTCAATGGTGAACTCTCAAGCAGCACTATGGTACTTTGACATTATCACTCCGCTCATTCAGGTGACTAACAAACATGTGGGCGTAACTCTCACTGGAACAGGTAAAGTTTTATGTATTTATGCAGTACTCAAATTTGTCGCGCAATCTCACAAGACGTCAAAAAGTGACGCTAACTTTATAACCAGCATTTGCAGTTGGCGTCGCCATGACGGTTCTCAGCGTGGCTATCCCTTACGCCGGCTCGGCTGTGACCGTAAGCTAAGCTTTCAATTTGTATCCTGTAAGAGCCAGAAAACTGTGCCTGCGCATTAGCCCATTTGATATGTTTAGGAGTTTATATGCGATTTTTGAAAGAAATTTTGCGTTTTTGCCATGATCTGCATGTCAGTCGTTTCCAGTAGCGCTCTGTTTGTGGCTAATGAAGGTGCGTGGTTTATATATATTGGAAGATCGCTTGTCTTCAGCATGAGACATCAAAAAATGAAACGAAACAGTATGTCAGTGTGGGCAGTTGTAATTTTGCACAGTGTTAATATCTTCCGCCTATACCAGTGAGTGGAGCCTCAAATAAAGATAGATGAAAGCAGCACCGATTTTGCCTTCTCGTTCATTCTTGATTTGATTGATATGTGGGGTTTAGAGTCCCAAAACAACCATATGATTATGAGAGGCGGCATAATGTAGGGCTCCAGAAATGTCAACCACCTTGGGTTCGTTAACGTGGGCCCAAATCGGAGCACACGTTCTTTAACGTGTGCCCAAATCAGTAGCGATAAGAGGAAGAAAATATTGCATAACCAAAGAGTATGCATAACAATAAGACACCAAGGAAGCGAGGGTGGGGAAGATTTCTGTGAGGCTTAGGAAGAAGGTAAAGGGAGAGAAAGAAAGACAGGAGGAGATGAAGAAATATTACTGAATGAAGAATATGGAAACAGGTGAAGCATGTTCTAATTCTGCATTCACCAAGAGGTAGCGCTTGCTTGTCAGCTATAATATTTACAGAGAATGCAGAAGTGTGAAATAAGCTTCAATTTTTGGTACGAATAGTGTCTACGTCGAAGTCAGACGCCTATTATGTGTACTGATGGGAATTGTCAGATTCGCTTTGGTAAGAAAACTGGGTCTTTGTTATAATAAAAATGCAGTGCATGCCCTTAAAAATATCACAGCCATTTCATCCACTCCAGAGCCCTTGCATACTTTCTGTCCTTAAGAACATAAAAATAGAGAGAACAGGCAATTTATGGAAGCAATGATTCGATGGAGACTTTTGTTGAGTATTGATGTTTGAACCATGGTTATTACAAACTGTAGTTTAGACGTAAGCAATTACGTTGTAATGTTTATGAATGAAGTGCAGCTTCCATGCTGACCACCACCATGCCATTAGGTACCAACTACAGTGCAATGGCACAATAAAAAACGTTTGAATCACATTCACTGTAGGAACCTTACTTCATTGGTCCGTGGTGAATTTTCCTAATGCAAATTGTGTTTCCAAAGATTACACTGCAACAGTCATTGTTGCATATGTCAGGCCTCTTGGGTACTAGATAGGCATTCTGAAGGCCATATTGCTAAAGAAATGCCCAGAGTTTAAATGAACATGAGAAAAAGGGTAAACAGCACCATATTGACTAAATTAAACAAGAGGGCATATAGTGAACCAGCAGTAAGCATGAAAATAGAACTCCACCCTGAGAAGCAACGCCTTAGGTAAGTAATGTTTTTTTTTCTCTCTTGTTCTCCTTGCAGATATTCATCGCTGTCAATGCGGCGATCACAGGTCCTTTTGTGGGCCTCTTTCTACTTGCCATCACCGTCCCTTTTGCCAGCTGCAAGGTGCGGTGGCCCTTCCACAGTTCAGTCTGTCTAAGGAAACACATAAATAGCAGATAATGTCTTTTTTTATAAATTAGCATCTGTTGCGAACTTTGTTAATGTCGGCATGGCGTTAGTTGTGTGCAGTACTTGCGGGTTAAAACTGGACGTTTTAAGGCTAAATATTGCACATACTTTCATTTACAGCGTGTTGACTCCGGGTTCTATTGTCAAAATTTTACCTTTAACGTGTAGACCTGTGCCAAAAATAGCTTTAGAGATCATATCCATTTTGACGTGACCTGGTTATCGTGCACAGTAGCCCATACCGTTCAATATGCTATACAATGATTAGTTGACGTGGCGATGTAGCGTACTATCGAAAAATCACTCGACCTAAGCACTGCAGAGGCACGCTGGTGCTTGAAAATGCTTCGAAAATCTCTGAAAAAGCATCGTGCCGGGTGAACTGCCCATTCACCAGAAATATGTAGGCCATCAATCATTTCTCACCATTGGCGAAACGTGCAGGAGTGTAGTTGACCTTCAAAAAAAAACCAAAACAAAAGTGTTCGCATTTTTCGCATTTTTAACATCATTGCTGCTAGGATTTCAGATTTTTGTATTGCAAGAGCATAACACATAATTTTGTTAATGTAGCTACCACAGTAACACGTATCAACACAGTCTTCTTGATAGCATGGTGCCACATAGCGAGCATGTATTAGGCTTTGACACATAAATTGTTCACCCGTCTTTTACTGCTGACTATTCACTAGGTATCACGGTCACAACGCAAAAATACTAGAAATTACAACTGGTGTGTGAATCTCGACAATTCTTCGTATTGAACTTTATGTATTTAAACGGCAAAAAATTGTGCAGCAGCCGTTCAGCACCAAACCCCTCCAAATAATATGCTACACCACCACCGGAAGTGGCATACCAGGATATCTCAATAGAATTTTACCCTAAAGAATATAAACAAACTGGGCATAATTGTTGTTTTATAAAAGTACTTATTTAACTTGCAAGCGCTCAATATTTCTCATTGTGGGTTACACTAATGCACTCCTTATTTCTTTCATGAGCTCATAGTCATAATGTTGCCGGCAAACTTTATTAACTTCGTCGCGAAGTCTCCACACCTGTGGGGTGTTGTGGTCTCATTCTTCATTCATGTCTGCTACAATTTTCGCTTTCTGTGAATCAGATCTGATGTGGCCAAACGAGTGAGCTTGGCATGTTCCTCGTAAGCGTGTCTCCACACGACAGACTGAATCCGTCTTTTCTGCGGCGGACGGCATTTCACGTGACCCCCCGTCATGAATTTCTGCCATCCGTGCCAGGTCCATGGGTATCACAGACAAAAAATGCCAAGCTCTTTTTTCGAAATTATATTCGAGCGGAATAACACAATGGATTTAGCTGAGGACGCCATTACAAATCTGGCAACAAGCACAGATTTTTCTTTTTTTTCGTTTGGTTTTGGAAATTTAGCCGTAGACGAAAACATAAACCTTCAATACTTTTGCCATCGATGAATAGGTTTTCGACTTTTAGACTCTTCGCGCCATCTGTAGAAATGGGAATAAGCAAGCATTCACACATTAGGATAAACTCGGAGATTCCGTAGTACTTGTGCTATTGCAGATCACTGAGCTCATGTTCTGCCAATAGCGGCAGTCGCTAAGCCTACAGTTCTCAGAAAACGAGTATGGCGCTCGAAAACAGTTACAAATTGTCGTGTATACGTTGCCATCGAAGCTTAAGGACGCAAACCTAAAGCCGACACACCAATCAGTTTGAGAATTACAGCCCACCCAATGCGCGACGAAGAGCCTAAAAATTAGAAGCGGGCAGCTCTCGCTTCAGACAGTGCCGCCATGCTTTTTCTCCAGCGCGTCCGTCTGCTCCCTTCGCCCATCATCTGGGTGTTCTTCACAGCCAAACGGGCAGCGAAACGATCGCCCGCGGAAGATATTTGCGTGGATATGTCCGTCGTGTGAATACACGCTAACCGTGCGGAAGTGGTCGGTTGTGCACACTAAGCCGAAATTCGGCAAAGTTGTACTAACTGCAGTTGTTAAACCAACAGAGGAACGGTTCGTCCAACAGGGACTAAATGCATCACAGTGCGTGTCGTACGCAAACGCTTGGCAATGAAGGGACCAACGGGAAGGGTAGCTGCGCTGCGATCGCCTTCTGTCGATGCTGCAATGCAATGCTCGGCGTGGTCGGTGATCACAAAAACAAGTTATATTGGCTGTACGCCAATGTGAAAGCGAAGCAGTATGAAACAAATAGATGTTATGAGAGGCAAGTGCAACACGTAGTCAGTGCACACAGCAAGCGCCCTCATGTTCCCACCATGCCCGCATGGGCGGGCTGAAACCAAGTAAAAGTCTCTGCGAACATGGGCGATGCGCATAACTTATTTCAATGTGCTGAATTAGATGAAACTACGGAAAACACTGACAACACTAATAAAAGTAAGTTGATCGTCAGCGGTCATGTACCCGCACAGTCACTGGCCAGAACTTCGAAGCGGTATATATAAAAAGTATAGGCTTCGCATGTCATCGGTATCAAGATGGCTCCCGGTCTGAGTGCATGGCCGGTACACGCAAAAGAAACGTCGCACAAAATTTTCATTCAAGAAAATGATACCTTCTGTATTAAAGCACAAATAAAATGATGCCAATTTTTTCATGCCATAATTGTTGTCAAACACCAAGCGTGAAGGCGATCACGGATATGATTAATCGTGCGACTGGCGGTGCAAAGCGAGTGACATACCAGCGCGATGAAAGAACCGTGCCTGCGAACGGTTTTGTCGCTGTAAGTATACCGGTGTCGACATCACTCCCTAAGACACCACGAACATTGAATACCTACGTATTGTTCATTTGTGACTATAATAGAATGACGACCACTATTTCACGCGAGTCGAATGTTGCGATCGCAAGTGGTCGTTTAGCAGTACTCCTCGTAAGCATAGCGACGCCGTCAGCAAGCTGACACGGAACACATGGCAGCATTAGGGCGCCTGACTGCTTCACCGGCTTTCCTGCATGAGAGCCGCTGCTATGATTGTGTTTTCGGACTCGTGAACCAGCACTGCGAACGCTGGTTCAGCCGAAATGATTGATTACCAGCTGCTAGTTCGTATTCTCTGACTGGAGGGATGTTGAAGATTAGATGGATCCAAACATATTAAAACATTGGTGAACTTCAGTGCAATGAATCAGCCCATGTAAATGTTCAAGTTACGGCGTTAACGTTTATTGTTTTTAAGGCGAATAAATGTCGCCCAATGGCACCACATAGAGGTCAAATTGCTGTACTATATATATATATCTGATAGTTTGAATATATATCCGTTCGGTCAGCTTTTTACTAACACCTGCTGCCATTGACATTTTACAGGATAACACAGAGTATTGTCATCCGTGTTCCATGTCATTGCTGGAACGTTGGTTTCAATGGGTAATGTAGGAACGGCACCTTAACTCTCAGAAAAATGTTTCCTTATCTCTTCACTGTTCGACGTCCGTTTCCCTAGGTTTATTACGGCAAGGTGAGAACTGTGTTTAGCGTGCTTCTATAAAAGTTTCGCATATTGCTAGAAACAGATAAGGTTCTGGTAGCTCTTCTATTAAAGACTCGAATTCATTTTTTTATAGGTGGTGTCGCGGTGGTATGTATAGAGAGCTGATAGTGACGAGCTTTTTCAATAGAACTGCTTGAACAGCCACTGCCTCTAGGGATGTTACAAGCGGTACATGAGTACATGCTACTCCTCGAATAACAATAAAGGCTACATCACCAGATAACGCTACAACATCATCTCTGTCCTTTTTATATATAACAAATTGACGTAGAAATTTCGTGTTTATGGATCTTAAATGTGTTTAGTGTACACATAGTACTTTCGGTGAATGTTCTTGTAAAAGTTCTGGGATATCATCGATGTTTCTGAGCAGTCCTCTGATGTTCAATTGTAGAATTTATGTCTCCATGTTGTGCATAAAGTAGTGCTGTGTGTACTGGAAGGACTTTTACTTCAAGTCAGGCAGCCTTGTCAGGCCCTGTAACGGGAGTTTTAACTTTTCTGGCGCGCTTCAATGAGCTGCGCCTGCCCTTCGGCGTCTGGGATGCCGTTGGACTAGCCGCTACGTTCATTGCCTAGGTAGAGAAGCTGGATGTCCGCTCGCAGGTTTCGCGTGTAGTTGTCTGTGTTTTCAGGCTTTCTGTTGCAACAAAAGGCCCTGGGGCTACAGGTCCCAATGGCTGCATGCCCTTTGACGGCGGAGCAGTTCTGGCTACTGCTTCCGCTGATAGCGCGGATGACACTATCGCCCGCTCACTGTGTCTGGTACGAGTGGGTGCCGCGAACCGTTGTGGTACTGCCCCAGTGCCTGCCACGTCCGCAAATGAAGGACCCTGCACAAAAGTGAGACGTTTTCATGCCTCCTTAAATGAAATGTTTTGGGTTACTTTCAGAGTTACTATTTTTTTTCTTCTTTCCATGCTGGACATGTGCGAGAGTAGGCTGGGTGTGCACTCTCGCAGTTTGCACACTGGGGAGTTTTATTGCAGCTGTGTACAGAGTGGTCATTCGAACTGCACTTAGCACAGGTTCGGCGGCCACGGCAGCTCTGAGAGCCATGACCGAAACGCTGGCACTTGAAGCAGTGCCGGGAGTATGGAATATATGGTCGGACATTCAACTTCAAATAACCCGTTTCTAGATATTCTTGTAGCGTGCTGGTACCAAATGTGAGGACTAGGTGTTTTGTGGCAATTCCCTTATTATCGAGCCCGACTTTTATTTACTGTACAGTCATGGCGTGCTGTTCACTCCAGCCCTCGAGCAGTTCCCTCTCTGACAAGTCGAGCAACTCTTGGTCAGACACCAATCCTCGCGAGCTGTTAAGAAAGCGGTGTAGGGTTACTGAAACAGGTGCATTTCTGATCGAAGAATGTTTAGAAAGTCTTTGAAATTGTGCTTTGTTGAT